TAGGAGTTGAGGCTCCAGTATAGTTTTTACGGGGACTGTGGCTTCCCCTTGCTTCTAGTAGTGGCTCGATTACAGACGACCCGAGCTTCAACAGTGTGCGTGGCAAAAATAATGTTATCTCAACATTAAAATATCTTAACATGATTACCTGGAGAGAGACAGACTATTTGCATGAGAGCAAAGTCTTGTGAGAGGGCCGCATGAGATGAGACCAAGCTACATATAACTCGGAGATGACTGTCGTAGCAGAAGCTTATAAGGTAACTACTTATGCGAGAGTAGAGTCATGAGCTACGTATAACTCGAGAGATGGCTGCCGTAGTAGAGGCTAGATAAGACCGAGCTTATTTGTGACTCGCGAGAGAGTGCAAAGCTGGAGATATAGGCTACTAAAGAGCAGTTGGTGTTTGAGCGGCAAGCACGAGAGGATGCTGTTGAGAAGTTGAGGCTGACCTTTAAATAGCACTTGAGAGAGCTATTAGGGTGGAAGCTCACTCCATAGAGATGGAGGAGATACTTTGAGACTGACCTTCGAGTAGCACTTGAGAGAGCTACTGGGTCAGAGGCTCACTCAATTGAGATAAAGAAGATGAGAGATGATGTTGAGGGGTTGGGCATCGTGGGCGCCTGGTGCTAGGCATGGACGCCGAGGGGCTCTGGGCGCAGACACTGAGGGGCACTGGGTGCCTGAGGCTGGACGTCTGGTGAGAGGGGATGAGACCCATCGTTTAGGTGGCATCAAGGGATGCGCCCAAGGTGTAGAGAGCGAGACCCCTCGCCTAAGCGGCATCAAGGGTGCCCAAGGTGGAGAGGGTGAAATCCTTGTCTAGGCGGCATCAAAGGGCGCTCAAGGTGGAGACGGTGAGACCCCTTATCTGGGTAGCATCATGGGGGGCGTCCAATGGTGGAAAAGGCGAGACCCCTTGTTTGGGCACCTGAGGTTGGACGTCTGGTAAGAGAGGGTGAGGCACATCGTTTAGGCGGCATCAAGGGATGCGCCTAAGGTGGAGAGGGCGAGACCCCTCGCCTAGGCGACATCAAGGGGCGCCCAAGGTGGAGAGAGCGAGACCCCTTATCTGGGTGCCTGAGGTTGGACTTCTAGGGACACTGGTGCCAGGAGCGGAGAGGTCTTTCTTGGTTAGCGTGCAGAAGGTGAGCGAGTCATCATGGGTGATAGTTAGGGCGCTGGCCTGGGTGATGCCAACTTGGTTGCTGGCCTGGGCGGCACCTGCCTAGGTGTTTGCTTCTCGGAGCCTGCACTGGGCGCCTAATGAGAGGGCCACTGTTGATTTCTCTAGCTTTGTCCCCTATGAGACGCCACTAGTAGTTGGTGACGGGGAAAGCCTTGATTATAGTAGTTGTGGCTCAAGGAGTAATTACTAATCGTCGGGAGTATGATGATTGACGACTGTTGTTCTTTTATCTACACCTTGTTTTTAGGTCATGGTCTGTAAGCTGTTTGTCAATTTTTAGGAGAACAAGACAATTCTGGACACAATGATCTTCGCAGAATTTTATTTCATAAAATAATAAATAACAAAATAAATAACTGAAATAATAAATGATAAATAAAATATTCCGGGGTTCAGCATCTATAGGTGGGCCGAGGCTTTCTTAGCGGAGTTTGAGTCAATTACTCCTCCTGGCCCTCAGGAGATCGTCTGGATTTCTCCGACGGTTGCTGGTGTTCTCTATTATCCTGGTTTCGACCAGGTTGCAAGGCTTGTCCTCTACCAGCAACGTACTGCCTTAAGCGGCCACGTTGTATGAGCTCCTCGATCTGCCTTTTAAGATCGAAGTAGTCGTCAACATCATGGTCGTGGTCACGATGGAAACGACAGTACTTGTTCGGACTCCTCCGATTCGGGGCAGTCTTCATCTTTTCTGGCTAGCGTACAGTAGGATCATCCTGTATTTGGAACAGAATATGCTCCATGGAAGTATTAAGCAGCGTGAAGTCTTGCTACTCTCCCAGAGGTGGGGGACCAAAGTGGTCATTGATGGAGATTTTTTCTGTCCTATTTCTTTTATTCTCTGATTCCTACCTGTACTCACGGGTGTCTTTCCTCTTCTTTTCTCCTCGGGAGGAATCACCTCTATGGGCTTTGGTGACATCCTCGGCGTTCATGTATTTCTGTGCCCTAGACAATAGCTCAGGCATACTGGAGGGCAGCTTCTTGAGGACGGAGATCATAAAGCTGGAGGAGCGCAGACCTGCGATAAAGGCAGCTAAGGCTACCTTATCATGTGGCTCCTCGATCTGGAGCACCTCCTCATTGAAATGGGGCAAGATAGTCTCTGAGGCTTTCATCCCTATCTTGCCTGATGGTGAGCATGTGGGTTATTGGTTTCTGATGTTAGCGTCCCTTAATAAAGTGGGAGATGAAGGACCTATTGAGCTCTACAAAAGAGTGGATGGAGGAGGTCTGATCTTGGAGAACCACTAACGGGCAAACCCCTTCAAGGTGGTAGGTAAAGCTCTGCACATAATTTCCTCAGGCACGTTGTGGAGTGACATGAGAGATTTATATGTGTCAAGATGGTCGAGGGGGATTTTTGGTGCCATCGAAGATCTCGATGGTGGGCATCTTGAATTTCAAAGGCAGAGGGTAATTGACAATATCAGCAATAAAAAGTGTATCAGTGCGTCTTGCCAAGTAGTCCATGGTTTCAAGCGCATGTGCCTTGATAGCGTTGAGAACATCCCCGAGTTGGTTTTGCACCTCTCTGATCTTCTCATCCCACTAATTAGGGACTTCCTCGGTCGGGTGATGGTACTGGCTTTCATGGTTTTTCGTATTGACTTTCCCTGTCTTCATTCTCTTGCGCAGGCTCATGAGGAGGCACTGTTGGGCAAGGGGCGCCTGACATGGTCCTGGGGTGTTCTGGCGAGGGACCCCATGGTGGGGGGGTTGCCTGACGCCCAGAAAGGATAGACAGTTGCTCCTCTCCTAGTCGGGGGAGTGGGACTCCTCCTGCGAGAGGGGGCGAAGCCTCCTTGGGAGAGCATGAGTTGGATGATTTGCTAGTTCTGGCTCACCAGTAGCTGCATGGTCTAGAGGAGTTGTTGTTGTTGTCCAACGGCGGGAGTAGTAGTAACAGATGGTTTTACAGGTGCAAGGAGAGACGAAGCCTCCTCCCGATATGTCGGGTTGTTGTCTCCCGGCTGTTGACTCATTAATCTAGTAGTGATTGTCATGGATCAAAAGAGTAAAAAAACTAGTCGATTCCCACAAACGGCGTCAAACTGATGATGCACAAATTGATTTTTGTGCAAAATCAACAATCAAGTGTATGAACTAGTGGAGTTAATGAGCAATAAATAAAACAATCAATAATAAAGCTGTAAATAAGGAGTCAACACAGAAAATCATAGTGGTTCGGTCCGGGTGATCTACTCCACTCTCGAAAACGGCGACAGTGACCGAAGATCTTTATTGAGGAATAATGTTGCTAGGAGAACACTCCGGGAGAAATACAATACTTTGGGAGAGAGAGAGAGAACAATGTGTATAGAGAGGCAAAAGCTCTAGGTGTAGTGTGTGTAGAAATCTCAAGACTATGAAGGCATGTCCTCTACATATAGAGAACTTACATTATATAGGCACACCAAAGCGGTGAAGCGGTGACGTGAGAAAGGGGTTTTCCACTATCTTGGTAAGTATAACCTTAATAGAAATGGATCTCCACATTCCGATATTTTCTCGCTCGTGTCCCTATTCCGTCAGAGGATGATCTTGAGCTAGACTGATCTTGATCTTGAGTTTAGACTTGAAGTGGTGTGGACTTAGACTTGCATTAGAATGGAGAAGAGGGACAGGGAAGCAAGCCATGGGCGTTGGCCTTTGGCTTGGACTTCACTTGATTCCTTATTAACTTGTGAGCATGTCCAATTCTTTTTGGGCTCTAGTACTTGAGACTTTTTTTGATGAGTTGACTCAGCTTTGATGGAGTTTTCTCGATTTGAATTAATTGGGCTTGGCCAATCAATTTTAGACTCATCAATATTATTATTTTTTTGTATTTTTTTTTCTGGGTGGGAAGAAAACATTATGATCATTGACTTCACCAATAGTTTCTTGTTGAACTTTCTTTGTGCTGACGACCGTACTGAATAATACCCCTCTACGGTCAAAATCTTTAAATTTAGCAAAACATTGAAAAATAAATAAATAAATATTAGACTGAAAAGCTGTGTTTAAATCTCCTGATTGTCAGATTTAAACGGTGAAGGCAAGAACACGTGGCTCAGAAAAGAGCACAGAATATATAAAAAAAATTCAAGACAAATGACACTTTGTACCTCAAAAATATTAGAAATTTCAAATTAGACACTCAATCAAATAAAAAAGAAACAATATGGCCAATTTTGGTAAAATTATCTAGACCTGCCAATTGTGTCAGGTGAAGTGAGTTTGTATCATAAAATATTCTACTTATACCTGATTTATTTATTAATTCATGTCTAACGAGTCGTGTTATATCTAGTTCGTGTCATATATAAATCGTGTAAAACAGGTATATAAATTATAATTTTTTTTAATGGAATTCACTCATACTTGATTTATTTATTAATCGTGTTGTATCAGATCTACATGTTTATAAAATGGGTAAATTAAAGAAGATTCAAACTCTCTAATTTCGTATTGTGTTAACGAGTAGTGTCATATTTTGATATCCCTAAAATTACCTATAAAATTTTAATATTTTTTTTAAAATTAATTAAAATGCAAATAAGTATGTATAAAAATAAAAAAATTTACAAAATCAGCCAAAAAAATTTTGTCAGATCAAGCAAAATATATTTAATTTTGGACCAAATTATCACCTTTTAGCTGATTGGGATTGTAATGTAAAACTTCTAATCTTTAAGGTATAAATTAAAAATTAAAATTTTTCGAAGTATGAAGTGTCATTTATCCAAAATTGATATCAGTAAAGTAGGGTTAAATGCAGAGCTAAGCTTTTGACACATCGAAAAATCACAGCCAGGGACACCCTCTCTCTCTCAGAGCCCCAAGTTGCTTGGAAACGCTCGGGCTGACGGCAGAGAGAGAGAGAGAAACATGGACAGCCGCCCCTGTTAACCCTTCTTCTGTTTCTTTTTCTTCACTTCTTCTTCCTCTTCTTCTTCTTCTCCTCCTCCTCCTCCTCCTCTATCTGCAACTCGTTGGAGTCTCTGATACCAACATACCATCTCAGGTGCTTCTCTTCCTTTGACTATGGTACTGTGTTTTTGCTTGCTGGGTTTGAGCTGTTTTGGTTTGTTCTGTCTTTTTGGGTTGTGATTTTTTTGTTGAATGAGTAATGAACGGTTGACTTTTTGGGTTTAGTATAGTCGTTTACATTGTGGGTCGTGTTGATTTCTAATGGATGTGTTGAAGATTGATGCTTTTGTCTATTTTCTTCTGCTTTGGGGATTGATTGGTTTCTTGTATTTACTTCAGTGATTTAGCATGCCGGTTTTTATTAATGTTTCTTGGATTGTGAAGATTGATGGTTTTGTGTAGCGATTGATTCAAAATGGTAAAGTGACTTATGTATGTGAAGAGAAGGGTTCGTTTTGGTAGATTAATTGTGTAAATGAATCAAGATCGTATTTATGTATTTATGTTGGCATATAGTATTTGAATCTTGAAAGTGTATACTTTTTGTTTGAAAGCATACTCTGCTTTTGATTTTGGCCTTTTGAAGCATTATAAGTACTTCTAAAATTCCAAAAACTATTTTGCTTTAATGGACGTGTGACAACATGGTGATTCTAGGAGGAAAATGGATAGTGGATGTGCTTTTTGATTTCAAATAATAATTGGATGGGATGTTACCGAAATCACACCTGTGCATTTTTTTGATAGCATCTTGACAGCATATTATTTCTCATAAAGTCTATAGTGAATAGAGAATGGAGGATTTCTATTTGGTTGCACACTGTCAAATCAGTTTTGTTTTCTCTAGGAAAAAGGAAATAAGGGCAAGTCTAAACTTGATGCTAAAATAAAATTTCGTTTCTTGGAAAGTCATTTTATTGCTGTCAAATAATTCGGGTTTAAAAAATCATCAAATATTCCAATTTTCCTATTGTCACATCATTTCATGAGTTTACAACATATCTTGGAGTCTATGCAATTGCTATCGCCATTCACCACTACAACTACTACTACATTCCGCCGTTAAAAGGTTTTGCTCTCATATTCTGAGGAGTCCTGCTATGTTGTACTCTGCTGTTCCTCTATACTCTAGCACCCCATTCCAAAAAAAAAAAGAGCAACAAATACGGAGTTAAAGACACTATCAACTGCATTTGGCCTCAGTGTAGCCACATCACTACCAGCAAACTTGCTTTGTTGTCATTTCCTAGGAGAAGTTATGGCTTTGACCTTGCGTTTTAGTGAACACAGTTTTTACTTTTGACTTGCACAAATCCGTAAAAAGAGAAACGTATATTTGTTTTACCAGACATCAATATAACAGATGATGGTGGTGTGGGATTCAATTGACCTAATCTGTGGAGGACAATGTCATCCCCATTCTAAATTTGCAGATGGGTATTTGTTGAGCAAGTCTCTGTTAAAGTTTTGGATTGCATATTTGTTTTTTTTTCAACCGGGAAGAAATATTTCGTGCATCTGCCCTAGGCTGAGTACCATTGGGATCTGCTATGCATCCCATGAACTCACCTGATGTTCTACCTTTTAGTTGAAGGGGATAACAAGAGCCACAGGCAGAAATGTAATGGATCTAATATTGTGACAAAAAAGCTTTCGAAAGTTCGATGACAACTAGACTTGAAGCTTGCACCTCCTTTACCACTTGGGTACAGAGTATAGGTTATTTTCCCTACTACCCTTTTTGTGCTTAGGCAGACTTACTATTATGATTATTGGCTATACATCTAAAAATGTGATTTTTTTGCAATCCATACATCATCCAATAATCAATTGACTTGGATATTTACCTGTGTATATATAGTTGTTCTTGAGGTGCTCTTTCTCTGCCGAATTTTAAGTTAATTTTGCTATTAGCTGTTGCCGGGCGAAGGGATTGGATAGGAAGCTTACATTTGGGATTATGACTACCCTCGGCCTAAGTTGACTTTCTTATGCTTATCAGTGCGAGCTCCTACAAGTGTGCTGAGCAAGTGCTCCTTTTTTGGTGGAATGTGTATGCGTAATTATGGCCTTGTGGTACATGATAACTTACGCCTAGTGTAAAGATAACTTATGCCATGGTTACAATTTGCCCCTCAAACCTGTAGATTATATACCTGTGTCGAATTGATGATTAGATATACAAATATAAAATACACTTGCTCTAGTTGTCTTTATCAACTATAACAAATAAACTCTTATTTGAAGTGTGACATTGAGCATTCATGCAAAATTATCAAGTGGCATATATATAATTAGGCATCCTATACTTTACTCAAAATTCTCTTGCTAACTATCAGAATAATCTCTAATTTCAAGTGTGATGTTGGCGAGAGTTCTTTAAAGATTTGATTATTTATTTATTTATTTTTGATGACATGGGATCCTTTCAGTAAATGTTGTGTATATGTTTAGTTTGGTTTCTTTCTTTCTTGTATTTGTTTTTCCCTAAAGGTTTTGTCTATTAGCCTTTCTCCAATTAAACAGTTTGGTGATGTATGCAATTCTGATCTGTATGTGTCATTGGATTGCCAATTTAGAAATTCCTGTTTTCTGAGTGACTAGAGTAGATCTAGAAATGATATTAGTGCCACTTGAAGGAAGGGTGAACAGAATAGATTTTGAAATGATATAGATGATCTTGTCGAGTCACCCACTCAAAGCATTTAAGGCACAGATCCGCATTTGAATTTGTGAAAGAGGGTAACTGTAAGTGGAAATGATTGTATTATTAACCTGACTATCATTTTGGGGGTGTGACCTGTAGATAGCTTAAACAGTGTTTTTTTGGGTGACTCAGATTAATATATGTGCATTGGCTTTCTTGAGATGCTGGAATTGTTCTTGTAGTATTAACTTTGCATATGCTTTGAAAACCCCTCTTGGAAGGCGCGGCTTTTACCTTTTTTGTTTTGCCGGTAAATTTGCAGATTATGTTACGAACAAAGCAGGTCGGTACACTCTCTCAGTCTGCTAGGCTTTTCCTCAGTGGGTCACGGAATGGTGCAGCAGATGGAAGTTCATGCACTTCTTCTGAAGATGAACCTTTTATTTCCAGAAGGCAGGATACAAGAAATGAAGTGCAACATTCAAAAACACCATCCACCTTAGTACCCAAAAGTTCTGTAACTGTAGGCTCTCTGATTTCTGGAGATTCAGTAAAAGTGGTGAATGCACACAAAACACCACCCACCTTAGTGCCGAAAAGTTCTGTAACTGCAGGCTCTCTGATTTCTGGAGATGCAGTAAAAGTGGTGAATACACACAAAACCAATAGTGCTGAGTATCCAGTTTCTCTGCCACAAGTTATTGGTGTCAATTATCCTAGTAGTATTGATCCTGCTCATAATGACATTACACATTCATCACCTCCTATTGCCGACCAGTTTGTTAAGGCTGGTATTGCGGCTGTTAGTTTTCTGTCTGATTTAGCAAACTATAAGATTCCTATGTCAGATGGGAGTGGAATGCTTAGTTCATCTCAGAATTCTATGATAGATCGGACAAGGCCCTATTCCAACATCAAATCCTCAAATGTAAAAGCTTTTAAAAAAGACAAAAACCAGGAAAAAGCATCTGCTGAGACAGAAGCAGGGTCAATTCCTACAAGTAGCTTTCATGGTACAAAAGTTAGAGGTGAAAAATCTGGTTCGGTCAAAGTAGTGAATCATACTCCAAATAGTAGGACAGGAAATTCACAAGAGGCTCATGGTATCTGTCCAGAATCTGGTGACAGGAAAAGGTCTATGCCTCAAAGACCAAAAGATTATTCAAATGACTTCATGGCAAATGTAAGGACATCGGAGGGAAAGGTTGTGGGGAACTCAGGTGTTTGCAGGGGGCCAAGAGAGACACAAATGCCAAAAGGAGTTGCTCCAATAGCTAGGCAGTCTAGCTCTGGGCATGTGGTTGAAAGTGTTTCTCGGATATTGCAACAACTAAGGTGGGGTCATGCAATGGAAAACGCACTGGGGAAACTCAACTACTCAATCGATGCCTATCAAGCAAACCAGGTACTTAAGCAGCTGAAAGACCATGATGTTGCTCTTAATTTTTTCTATTGGTTGAAAAGACAACCGGGATTCAAGCATGATGGGCACACCTACACCACCATGGTTGGCATCCTTGGCCGTGCCAGGAAATTCAGGGAAATAAACAAGTTGCTTGACCAGATGGTCATGGATGGATGTCAGCCAAATGTTGTGACGTACAACCGTCTTATTCATAGTTTTGGTCGGGCAAATTATTTGAATGAAGCTGTTGATGTTTTCAACCAGATGCAAGAAGTAGGGTGTCAACCTGACCGTGTCACGTATTGCACACTCATTGATATCCATGCAAAAGCTGGGTATCTTGATGTTGCCATGGACATGTATCAGAGGATGCAAGAGGCTGGGCTTTCTCCAGACACGTTCACTTATAGTGTCATCATCAATTGCCTTGGCAAAGCAGGCCATTTAGCCGCCGCCCACAAGCTATTCTGCGAGATGATTAGTCATGGCTGTGTGCCTAACTTGGTGACTTATAATATTATGATTGCCTTGCATGCCAAAGCGAGGAACTACCTGAGTGCATTACAGCTTTATGGTGACATGCAAAATGCTGGATTTGAGCCAGACAAAGTAACTTACAGCATAGTTATGGAGGTCCTTGGTCATTGTGGTTATCTAGAAGAAGCCGAGGCTCTTTTCTTTGAAATGCAACAAAAGAACTGGGTTCCTGATGAGCCTGTATATGGTCTTCTGGTGGACTTGTGGGGTAAGGCTGGGAATGCAGAAAAGGCTTGGGGGTGGTATCGAGCCATGCTCGATTCAGGTTTGTGCCCCAATGTGCCGACATGCAACTCCCTGCTCAGTGCTTTCCTTAGGGTACACCGACTGTCTGATGCATGTAACTTGTTACAGAGCATGCTCAATTTGGGTCTACACCCATCTTTGCAAACTTACACCTTGCTCCTCAGTTGTTGTACGGAGTCCCAAACATCATATGACATGGTATTTTGTTGTGAGCTTATGGCTGTCACTGGCCACCCAGCACATGCATTCCTACTATCCATGCCAGCAGCAGGACCTGATGGCCAGAACGTGAGAGATCATGTCAGCAACTTCTTAGACCTTATGCACAGTGAAGATAGAGAAAGCAAGAGGGGACTTGTGGACTCAGTGGTCGATTTTCTTCATAAGACGGGGCTCAAGGAGGAAGCTGGATCTGTTTGGGAGGTGGCTGCTCAGAAGAATGTTTATCCAGACGCAGTTAAAGAGAAAAGCTCGTCTTATTGGCTTATAAACCTCCACGTTATGTCAGATGGAACTGCCGTAACTGCTCTATCTAGGACGCTCGCCAGGTTTCGCCAACGGATACTTGTGTCAGGGATTTGTCCCAACCGCATTGATATTGTGACAGGATGGGGGCGAAGGAGTCGGGTGACGGGATCTTCTCTGGTGAGGCAGGCAGTGCAGCAGTTGCTGCACATTTTCAGCTTTCCTTTTTTCACTGAACATGGTAATTCTGGATGTTTTGTAGGGTGTGGGGAGCCTCTTAATAGATGGTTGCTCCAATCTTATGTGGAGAGGATGCATTTGCTGTAGCTGAGTTATGTTTTTCAGTCTTTGTACTTAAACTCCAGTTTTGTTGTGGAAGAGGAACTTGCATATCCTTCCTCAGAGGCATTGGTATGTATTTGAATTATGATGTTCTGTTAATTTAAATTCAGGTTGTTCTTTTTACCTGTGGTTGCTAGCTTTGAGACTTCTACTCTTTATTCCATTTCTAGTTCATGCTATAAAGTTTTGATTAGGACTTGATGGTAGTTGATTTGATCCCACCAGGTTATCAAATAAAAGGGTGTGATTGCTAGGCATGTTTGTTTGGTTCAAATATTAAAGGGTAGGATTAGATTAAATTAATTTAATGACGATTTTAATATCCTGTTTGAATCATATTATACGTCCCAACTTTATAACATGAGTCAATATCGGTCGGATGCTAGAGTTTCAAATAACAATAAATACAATACAAACGAAGAACATGTGATAGGTCGTGTATAAAGTTCATATTGATTGATGTTGCAATTGAAAATAACAAGAATACATCTAACTCGATTTTTAGTAAGATTGAATGCAAGGGTAGTTTCTATGACTTTCAATCATATACTACTGTACATCACTATGTAATCCAAACATGAGATTGTTATTATAGTAATGTCCTCACAACATCTTGCAACATTGATCCAAACATAGTAAATATGAAATAGGATAAAACATCGCCAATCTTGCGCATCATTTAGCTAGACATGTTCTTTTTGTTACATGTGGGTAAGAGTGAACCCTTACCATTGGTCACTTCCCCCACCTCATAAATTACCTGATTTTATCATCGATGATGTCTTCTAGTGTCCTTAATCTCTCAATCTCATGATGATTATTGATTATAAATTTAAATAGGATCCACTTCAGGGGCAGAGCCAGGCTTTTCCCACAGTGGGGGCAACATAAAATTCAATAAGAGTGTTAACATTTATTTTTGTATGCATAAAAGAGCAATATAAAAAAAAAAAAAAAAAAAACCTCACTATAAAAGCTATTCATAAATGTCAATTAAGATCATACGAGTAAACTTATTTCTTGAATTGAAGTTTCATTATTATCCAATTTTTTAAGAGATCAATCATTGTACATAATATTTCAAAGAGATCGATACACTCAATTCAAATTCAAATGATCATAGTTGCTAACTTTTAGCCAAAAAAAAAAGAAAAGAAGTAATAATAACATAACTCTAATTATAGTGCTAAGAAAATTAAAAAAAAAATTGCAAAAATTGTCAAAATTATAGAAATTATTTATGCGTTATCTCTCGCAATAGCTCTGACAGAATTTCTCCTTTTCTTTAAAGCTATCCACTCAATGTACTTGTTAAACGCTAATAGAATTAAAAACGAATTGACGAAAGATTAAATAAAAAAGAAAAAAGAGAGAAAAAACAGTAAGGGGATAGCAAAAGAGAAAAATTATGAGAAAATAATGTTTACAATCATGTATAGTTATTCATGAGCCTGAATTTGACTAGGCAAGCTCAATCCAAATAAATCAAGAAAACCCGAAGAAAATCCAACTGGACATGGAGTCATAAGGCCGTAAATCAACACGGAGTTATGAGTCCGTAAATCAACACGGAGTCATGAGACCGTAAATCAACAAGGAGTCATGAGACTGTAAATCAAAAAGGAGTCATGAGATCGTAAATCAACAAAGAGTCATAAGGGCTACTCGTAAATTAACACGGAGTCAAGTGGAGCCAAAGCCCCAAAGGCAAACGCCCAAGGGGGCGCCGCCCATGGCCAGACTCTCCTGGTTCTTCCTCCTTTGTCCTACGCAAGCCCAAGCCTACTCCGATTCAAGTTCAAGGTCAAGACCAAGTCTAGGACCAAGCTCAAGATCAGGATCATCCTCCGACGGAATAGGGACACGAGCGAGAGAATATCGGGATATGGAGATCTAGTCCTACTAAGATTATACTTACCAAAATTGTAGAAGACTTCTCACTCACGTCACCGCCTTACTCTCGCTATATAATGTACACCCACTCAGTATTGAGGGCACGCCTTTGAAACCTCTACACATCTCTCTACACACCTTGTTCCCCTCTCCCAAAGCATTATAACTCCCTCGGAGAATCCTTTTCTGGCAACTTTGGTTCACCAATAAAACACCTCCGGTCACTGCAACCGTTCTCGAGAGTGGACTAGGTCACCCGGACCAAACCACTATAATATTCTGTGTTGACCCTTTATTTACAGCGTTATCATTAATTACTTGTTTACTGCTTATTGATTGCCTTCGTTCACATTCTTGACTGTTTATTTTGCGCAATACCGATTTGTGTATTATCAGTTTAACGTCGTTTGTGGGAACGACTAATTTTTCTACCCTCTATTTCAATCCATGATGATCACTACCCGATCAATGAGCCAATAGCCAGGAGACAATAACCCGACTCACCGGGAGGAGGCTCCGCCTCCCCTCATACCATCTGAACCATCTGCTACTACGACCCTTGCCGAGCAGCAGCAACAACTCCTCCAAACCATTCAACTGCTGGTGAACCAAAACCAGCAGATTATCCAGTTGATGCTCGCCCAAGGAGGCGTCGCCCCTCACCCAGTAGTCCCTCCTCAGCGTGTAGGGAGTCCACGAGTTCCCTAGGAGGATGAAGACAGAGAAAGTCAATTCGGAGACCACGAAAACCAATACCCGATTGAGGATGTGCCCAACCACTGGGACGAGAAGATTAGGGAAGTGCAAAACCAGCTTGGTGATGCCCTTAACGCCATCAAGGCACATGTGCCTGAAATTGTGGACTACTTGGTAAGACGTACTGATACGCATTTTATTGCTGATATAACCAATTACTCTCTGCCATTGAAATTCAAGATGTCCTTCATCAAAATTTTCGATGGCACCAAAGACTCCGTCGACCATCTTGATACATATAAGTCCCTCATGCAACTCCACAACGTGCCTGAGGAAATTATGTGCAAAGATTTCTCAACCACTTTGAAGGGATCTGCTCGCCAGTGGTTCTCCAAGCTTAGACCTTCCTCCATCCGTTCTTTTGCCGAGCTAAGTAGGTCCTTCGTCTCCCACTTCATTAGGGGACGTCGGCATCAAAAACCAGTGACCCACCTACTCACCATTAAGCAAGACAGGGACAAAATCCTTAGAGACTACCTTGCCCGCTTCAATGAGGAGATTCTCTAGGTTGAGGAGCCAGATGATAAGGTAACTCTGGCCGCCTTTATCGTCGGCCTCCGCACATCTAGTTTCATGTTCTCAATCCTCAAAAAGTCGCCCTCTAGCATTCCCGAGCTGTTGTCTAGGGCACAAAAATACATGAACGCCGAGGATATTACCAAGGCCAGACGAGGTGAGTTCTCCCATGGGGGCAAGAAAAGGAAAGACGTCCGCGAAGATAGGTGGGAGGCGGAGAACAAGAGAAAGAGAACCGAAAGAGTCTCTGTCAAGGACCGCCTTGGTCCGTACCCCCCAAGAAAACGACAGCCTTTCATGCCACTCAACGCCTCGGTGGAGCATATCTTATTCCAAATACAAGATGACCCCACGCTCCGCTGGCTTGGAAAAATGAAGTCCGCCCCAAATCGCAGAAATCACAGCAGGTACTGTTGCTTCCACTACGACCATGGTCACGACATTGATGACTGCTATGAGCTCAAGAGGCATATCGAGGAGTTCATACAATGTGGCCAGTTGAGGCAGTACGTTGTTGGCAGAGGACAAGCCCCACCACCTGGCCGAGACTAGGATGACAAAGAACGCCAGCAACCCCTCAGAGAAATCCAGACAACCTCCTAAGGGACAGGAAGATGATATGACTCCAACTCTGCCAAGGAAACATTGGTTCACCTATGGGACATCGAACGCCTAAAGATTTCATCCCTTTTATCGTTTCAATTGATTTATTTTATTATTCATTATTTTCTGAAATAAAATTTTACGAAGATTATTATGTTTATAGCTATCTTACTTTCATTTCAAATAGTTTATGACCTAACAAAAAGGCAGACAAAAGGCGCCCAACCTTAGGCTCCCAGCACTAGGAGCCTAGCACCAGACGCCCATCACCAGGCGCCCAGACGACGAGGGGTCTCGCCCTCTCCACCTTGGGCGCCTCTATGATGCTGTTAGATGAGCTCTTTACCTTGGGAGCCTCCCATGATGCCTAAACGATGGGTCTCGTCCCCTCTCACTAGGCGTCCAACACCTTAAGAGTCCAACTCCTTAACGCCCTCCTCATCTCCATAGAATAAACATCTGCCCTAGTAGCTATCTCAAGTGCTACTTAAAGGTTAGCCTCTAGATGGACAGCACTCTCGTGCGCTAGCCTCAACTACCCAATGGCATTCTCTTCTGCTGCTCCGTGGCATCCTTTCATGCTTGCCACACGAGCCCTACTTGCTCTTCAGCAGTCCCCGTGTCTGCCTCTCTGATATCCCAGAGGTCACAGACCTCTAAAGCCTCTTGTTGACCAAAGTTAAATCAAAACAGGATAGCTATGTGGAGCTACAGTCCCCATAGAAGACAGCACAAGAGTCTCAACTCCTACAACAAAACTAGGGTTAGCTCTGGTACACAGAAGTCTCAGTCTGAGAAGGAGTGGGGGCACCACTGGATCCCGCTCTCGAAAAGTAACCTAGACATCGGACCTTGACCGAGAAACAATGGGGGCATCAAACCTCGCCCTCTTGGAAGGATGAGAAGATACCACCCTAAAAACACAAGAGAGTCTCCATCATCGCTCTGTCAACAGGGCGCCTACAATTATAGACAAGGTCAGTTAGTGACCAAACACCAGAGAGGTGTCACCCATAGCAAGACTCAAGGCGTCCCCCAAACAAAGCAGTGCTCAAGACCTCCTGGCGTCCCCCAAGGTGCCCTGTCAACATCTTGGCGTCTCTTAATACGTCTGCCTACTTACCTGGCGCTTGTCTACCTGACACCCATCTGTCTGGCGCCCATCTACCTGGCACCCGCCTGCTTGGCGCCCATTTGCCTGACGCCCACAACAGCAATGCTCAACCTCCAAGGCCGACGTCCAAGAGGGCGGCGCCTAGGAAAACCAAGAAAAAAAAAAGGAAAGGGAGAGAGAGCAAAGAGGGCAGCGCCCAGGAAGACCAAGAAGAAAGAAAAAAAAAAAAGAGAAGCATGAAGGGGCGG